GCAGAGCCGCGTCCCTCCCGCGCTGCACCGGCCCGCGCCCTGCACCGCCGCCATCGAGCTGCGCCCCAACAAAGGGCCCGGCCGGGCCGGGGAGAGAGAGTGGGCGCCGCTGTCCCGCTTCTACGGTAAATGCACATTTTTCTACCGAGAGCTCTGAAACGGGAGTAATGTGCTACTCTTCTGTTTGTTTGTTTTATTCTCTGTGAGGGTGACTTTAAATTTTCACCATGGGGGAATTCTTTTGTGTGTCCCATATCCTTGACTTAATGATTACATAGCTTTGTTTTGTTTATGGGACTGATGTGTTAATGAAGGAGCTGATTTATGTCTCTTGCTGCTATACCTATGACAAAAGCCTATAGCACTTCATGTGCTTTTAAATAGTGGCATGTGTTGGCCATTTTCATGGTCTCACTCTTTACTGATAGCTATTGAACTATTCCTTTCATGGTTGGGATGATTTTTAATTTAATATTACTTTTTGAACACAAACCAGTGGTTTTTATTTACTGTTGTTCTACAGCTGCACTCATTTTAACGTGTTCCATCATCTTAACCACCTTTATTAGTTTTCAATGTCCATATCTTTGGGACATATCTTTCCTCCCCTTCTTTATTATTTTCTTTCACCTTGGTCTTTCTTACTACACTTATTTTTTGCTATTGAAATGTTAAACATATATTTAATGTTTTTCCAGAGAGTTATAGGGTCTTCAGATGATAACAACATTCAACAATTTACAAAACTAGAGAACTTGCAGCTACAGGTGACAAAGTACAGAGCAAATCATACAATTATGCCTAAAATTTCAGTCTCAACAACTAAAATATCTACAATAGCTACCCACAGCCTAGAAACCCAGCTTCTCAAATGTGATTCTAAGGTTCATCATGCACTTTAAAAATTTTCCCAAATAATCCCAACCACAAGACAGATGTTTCTCACCATCAGTAAATTTGTCATTTTCCCTATTGCTATGTGCTGTCTCCTCTTGATGGACAAGTTGTTCTTTAACTTTTCCTGAGACTTCTTGCTCCTTTTCTCTGTATTCCCCGTAGAAAATTACACCACACTAAAATAAAGTTACGTTCAGAAATTAATCTAAATCTCCAACATATATATGCCTGTTCTGGATGAGAGGCAACAGGGCTGCAGATAGAGGGCAGGTATTAAAAAAGAGCAGCAGGATAACCATTGTAGCATTAAGCTGCTCTTTTCAACACTGCTTTGCCTCCACAGTTTAGGAGACAAGTACAGCAAAAGCACTTTCAAGCAATCCTTACTCACTGGGAAGGAAAAATATCCCACTCTTTCCTTGTTTGCTTCCCTTCAGACACTACTATTTTACATACAGGCTGGAGATTTTTGTGGATCTGTGTTTCTGCTCACCACAGTAAAAAGGAAAAAAGAGCAGCAGCAAGACCAGGTTGCTAAGATCTCTTTTTTCACTTGTTCCAGATAGGTGACCTGAGCCTATACAAGAAACCTTTCTCCTCTGATACCAGATAAGTCCAGTCTTTGGATAGTCCTTAAGGTTTCCAAAAGGAAATAGCATCAATCATGTTTTCTTCTTGAACAATGAAGTCATATTAACAATAAAACAGCTTGATTTTCTGGTTCATGATAATTTCAAACTACAAAATAAAATCTACATCAAATTTTTAGGATTACCATGATTTTTGACTTAGACATATACTTCCAAAATTTCTTCCTTCTGAGAAGAAATCAAATCATTTCATGTTACAAATTAAATCACAGCTTCCATCTCATTGAAGTTGATGAAAAATAAACTACGCTCTATGGGCCAAAAGGATTAGTTGTAAACCCAATTAGCAGTGTTTGTATTCCAGACTCCATATCTTTCTCGTTTGCACCTTTTTCCCTTTTACATTTATCTTGTGGCTGTTACAAATTCAGACTATTCTATGAAGCATCCAGGTATGCTCCTTCTCATAGAAAAAAAAAAAAAAGGAAATAGGAGGACTAGCAGAACCACTCGCAAGTTTTTGTTTCTGGTTTTGTTGGTTTGGGGTTTTTTTTCCTTAGAAATGCCCTTAACTAGGTTTTGCTGCTCCGAAGCCTGCTGCGGGGCACACGCGAGCCGGGCGCTCCGCGGTGACCCCGGGCCGGGAGAGGCCGCGCCGCAGCGGAGCTTCGGCACCGGAGGCTGGGATTGAAAGAGCTCATTCTGATTGGCTGATGGCATTCGGAAATCAACCAATCCTAGCGTGATGTTTGAAAAGAACCAATAGCAAAGCACTTCGTTCTGAGGATGACGTCACTACGCCATTTGTCCAATGGAAGCGCTGATTTCTGATACCGGAGATTTGCATAAGGGCCCTATAAATATGGGAGTAATCGCATTATTCGGCACTCCGCTGTGACTGAGCAGTCAGGGAGTTGCAGCGATGCCTGAGCCGGCCAAGTCCGCCCCCGCGCCCAAGAAGGGCTCCAAGAAGGCGGTGACCAAGACGCAGAAGAAGGGCGACAAGAAGCGCAAGAAGAGCCGCAAGGAGAGCTACTCCATCTACGTGTACAAGGTGCTGAAGCAGGTGCACCCCGACACGGGCATCTCGTCCAAGGCCATGGGCATCATGAACTCCTTCGTCAACGACATCTTCGAGCGCATCGCGGGCGAGGCGTCGCGCCTGGCGCACTACAACAAGCGCTCCACCATCACCTCGCGGGAGATCCAGACGGCCGTGCGCCTGCTGCTGCCCGGCGAGCTGGCCAAGCATGCCGTGTCCGAGGGCACCAAGGCTGTCACCAAGTACACCAGCTCCAAGTAGGGCGTCTCGGACCGTCACTTTTAACCCAAAGGCTCTTTTAAGAGCCACCAAATTTTTCAATAAAAGGGCTGAATCAGTTCTATTAGTGGGGAGGTACGTAAATACTTAACATCTGCACGTTAATTAGTAGATGACGTGGTCCTCTAGCAAGCTTAAATGAATGTACTAAATTTCTTAATTACCTTGTCTATGTGCGGTATATCAACTTGGTTGTTAAAAACCTGTAATCCGGTTCGGTCTCAAAAGGGGCTTGAAAGCAGCAACAGCTTTTCCAATTCAAAGTCCCATGCTAAAGGTGAAATTGTGAAAATTTTCTAAGGGTTAAATGACTTACCAAATTTACTGGCATTTACTTTCAGTGCACTATAGCAGTAAAATAAAGGTTTCATCTCGGTCGCTTTTGTGGCAGGTTTGTATAGTTTTAGTAAGACAAGACTCAACGACGGGGTTTCGGGTTTAAAATACCCAATATCCCAGAGTTCTGTAGGAGATAAATGCCGAAAAAAGGGGGCGATCAGTGATTTACAATGTAAGGTTCATTGGAGCCGGGAAGAATCGGAGAGTGGAGCCGCAGCCCTTGCTGCCCCGTCGCGCCGCTGCGGCAGCGGAGCTCCGCTGCAGCTGCCGCCGGACAGGGCCGTGGCACTGCCCGCACGTTTCCCCATCCCTGCTCCATTCCTCTCTCCGCTTCCCCCATTCCCTCCCCGGCTCGAAGGCCGTGAGACGGGAGGGAGTGGCGATCCGCGGCGCCGCGCGTCACCGACCGGGCAGCGCTGGGGCACGGCCGCGGGGGGGTCGCCGCCGCGGGGCGGGGCCGGCGGGGCGGGGCGAGGCCAATCGCGGCCCGACGCGGCTCTTTTAAACTCCCCCGGGCACCGGAGCAAAGGGCGCTCGCCGCGGCGCGGGGCCGCCGACACCGCCTCCTTTCGCTCGGGGCTGCGCCGGGCAATGAGCAGGGGGCGGGGCGGGCACAGCTCTTATCGCAGGCCTCCCAAATTGCACCCAGGACACACTTCCCTTTAAAGGCAGCCCCAATCTCCCATGCAGGCGTTACCGAGCGCACTCGTACCCAAAATCTGAGCTTTATTAACGCCGTGAAAGCTCCCTCCGAAATCTGTGATTTGGATTTGCTGGTGCATGACCAAAGTGTTTCAGCTCTTTTTGAGAGTAAGTGGGTGGCTCTTAAAAGAGCCTTTGGGTTTATTAAAATGAGTAGACTCTCAATTACTCTCAGTCACCTTACTTCTTTTTTGGCGCCGCCTTCTTTGCCTTGGCCGCTTTGGGTTTGGCTGCCTTGGGCTTGGCCGCTTTGGGCTTCACCGCCTTTGCCTTAGCCGGGCTCTTCGCTGCCTTCTTGGGGCGGCCGGCCTTTGCGGCTTTCTTGGGGCTCTTGGCCGCTTTTTTGGCCGCTGCAGCCGCCGGCTTCTTCGCCTTCTTGGGGCTCTTCTTCACTGCCGCCGCTTTCTTGGGCTTCTTGGCAGCGCTGGCGGGCTTCTTAGCCGCCGGCTTCTTGGGCTTGGCAGCCGGCTTCTTTTTAGTTGCTTTTTCTTTTGTCTCCCCCGGCTTCTTGTTCAGCTTGAAAGAGCCGGAGGCGCCGGTGCCCTTGGTCTGCACCAGGGTGCCCTTGCTGACGAGGCTCTTGAGCCCCAGCTTGATGCGGCTGTTGTTCTTCTCCACATCGTAGCCGCCGGCGGCCAGCGCCTTCTTGAGCGCGGCGAGGGAGAGCCCCTTGCGCTCCTTGGAGGCGGACACGGCCTTGGTGATCAGCTCGGTGACGCTGGGCCCCGCGGGCTTGCGGGCTTTGGAGCCGCTCGCCGCCTTCTTCGGCTTCTTGGCGGCGGCCTTGGCGCCGGGAGCAGAGACAGCGGGAGCGGCAACAGGCGCGGTCTCCGACATCGTGCCGGCCTTCGTCCACGAACCAGGGGAAGCACTGGGCCTGGAGCAAGTCGGCGGCCTCCTATTTATAGAGCGGAGCCGCGCGCTGATTGGTGCGTTGCAGAGCCCGCCCCGCTGCACGGCAGAAAGGTCCCTTCTCCCCGCTCATTTTGTGTTTCTTAGGAGCCGAAAACGGCTGTTTTTATCAGAATTTCCGCCACCGATCCCCCCCCAGTTCGCAGCGACGTGGAGAAGAAAGACTCTTGTTCCCCTCGGCCAAGTTTCCTTTCGGAGAGGCAACGGGTGAGCTAAAAAAGAGGCGATAAACACCGAGTCCTGGACCTGAACAGACCTCGGGAGACAGAAACTTTTGTTTTTCCTTCTAAATAAAATCCGCGATGTGGGGAAATAGATTCCCAAAGCAATTAATTAATATTCTTTAAAGGGTCTTCTCTTAATCTGAACTGAAAATGAGGGATTTAGATCGGTATTTTAGTCGCAATTTGATTTCAAAGAGGAGTAAGTAACACAGGCTCATCCTGAGCACTGAATATGGATTAGAAATTAGCTCCTTTGTCCAGAATCCTTTACCTCTTTCAAAATAATTAAAAGAAATTAAATTAGTGCATTATGCAGCAAGGCAAGGAGCAGGTTAAAGTCCTGTGAAGGGCTTTTTGTCCCACCAAAGGAGATAACTTTTTACAGCACAGCAGTTTGTGCTGTGTTGCTCAGTGTACACAATGCAGACATGGTTCCCTTGTCTCCTGCTACAGAAATACTTACTTTCTTAATAAATTAGGTGACATAAAAACTTACCATTGCCAGTTTTTGTTATTAATGATAACCAGTACCCTATCATTTCATAACATGTCTGTGTTTTTATTTTGATACAGCTGGATTGGCAAAAATCTGAGTCATCATTGTTTAAGGAGACACTGCTGCGATGATTTTCCCACTACTTGAACATAATAAAACTTGCTCAAGTAATCAGTAAGGATTTTTCTTTCACGGCAATTTCCTAAATATTCCATTTTCTTAATGTCCAGTGACTGGTCCCTACATTGGAAGTAATACTAAAAATGGCATGTCTTGATGTATCTGCTACACTGAAACAGTTGGCTGCTAAGCAGGAGGAGAGAGTCTTCAGAAGCACTTTTCCAAGACCAAACTTCAATTAAAAATAAATGCACATTGTTTTTCAGAGTACAAAGAATTAAAAGTCGTCTCTAATATGTTTATTAATTAATATTATTAGTAGTATGTTTGTTATTATATTGTTTTGAGAAAGGCCTGTAAACTCCTTTTGACCTCTTGATATTGTAACTGCTGATGATAGTAAAACTCTGGGCAGTGTTAGGATTCAAGTAATTTATGCTTTCAAAATTATTAAAATATGTTTTTTGACCAATAATAGCAGATTTTCTGTTTCTATTTCGACATATTTTATGGTTTATATTTAGCACTGTGTGTAAGATAGAATCAAAACTGGCAACTGTCCTTTTCACCTCAGATTGCCTGTGCATTGTGATGAACAATTGTTGTGAAACTCCTTCAGATTTGAGGCAGAAAATGGGCTCAACAGCTGAAAGATTTTTAATAAGAAGTAAAGATTAGTAACTCAGAATGCCTTTTAATACAAAATAACAAAACCAAGCCACCAAAAAAAA